TGATCCTCCCACCTTGGTTTCTCAAAGTGCTGCGATTACAGATGCGAGCCACCGCACCAGACCAATTTCATAGAAATGTTTACATAGCTATCTATTGCTGTGTGTGTATGTGTATGTCTGTGTGTGTTTTATCAAGAATGGTTGTTGAATTTTGTCAAAGACCTTTTCAGAATCTGTGAAGGTAATCCTAGGATTGTTTCAAATCTACCACCGTGAAGACTCATATTTAGAGTTACTAGTAATACATGATCTTTGCATTCTTCAAATTAATTAATTATATATATATATATACACACACATTTTTTTTTTTTTGAGAAGGAGTCTCACTCTGCCACCCAGGCTGCAGTGTAGTGGCATGATATCAGCTCACTGCAACCTTCGCCTGCTGGATTCAAGCAGTTATCTGCTTTGGTCTCCTTAGTAGCTGGGATTACAGGCGTTCGCCACCATGCCCTGCCAGTTTTGTATTTTTGGTAGGGATGCGGTTTCACCATGTTGGTCAGGCTGGTCTGGAACTCCTGACCTCAGGTGATCCACCCACCTTGGCCACTCAAAGTGCTGGCATTACAGGCGTGAGCGACTGCACCTGGCCAGAGATGATATTTTAATGTGCTACTGGATCTCTGCTTTTTCGTTGAAGGACATTCATATTCATGTTCATAAGTGAGGCGGCTGTGTCATTTTCTTGTACAACATTTGTCACTCTTAAATAGTGATGTTATTACATCATATAAATAATTTGGAAATTTCATTAGTTCTGGAACACTTTTAAAATCCACTGGAATTATCTAAGGTTTGGTAGAATTTCCCTTGGGGACCATCTAGGCTGGTGTCTGGGGTGGCAAGGAGCAGTAGCTGTTTCACCACTTTGTGGATTTTTTTTCCCCATGGTACGAGCAATAGATTTTTAGGTTCTTTGAAGACAAACCAATCCTTGCTGAATTAGAATATAGCATTTTTCCTAACTTTCTTGATTGCATGCCTTTCTACTTAACGGTCACAGAGGGGATTGTTGAACTTGCAGAAGTGTTATATGATAACTGTACAATACATATAAAACTCTCCAAAATAATCTTCATGAAGCTTGGTTTTAGCCTTACCATCTCCTTCTCTGATGAGTATATCAAAGTCAAAACACTCTTCTGGATTCCTGAAATCAGCCCAGGGTTTCTATTTATTGGGTTGCCATGAGAGGCTTTTTCTGAGGGTTCTTACAGTGTTTGGCCAGAGACAGAAATCTTGGGTTCCCTCCCCTGATGGAAGCTGAACTAAGGTCTAGAGAAAAAGGGGTTGTTGCCCAAACAGTAAGAATGATAATCACTTGGACTTCCACAGTTCTAAACAGCTTAGTTAACTATTTTGTCACTTAATGTTTCCAGGAAAGAGCCTGGAGGCTCATAGGATTGATAGTCTTTACACGTCTATCTGACTCAGATCATGAACTCTTCCTGCTAAAGGGCACTGGCCTAACAGGGTTAGACTCTCAAGGGGCAGAGGTGGAGGATTCGGGAAGAGTGTCAAGAGCATCACTTCTGGTATCAGACTGTGTTTGTTCAAGTTCTGGCTTTGATCACCTGTGGGTCCCTGCATATATTACTCAACACTCTATATTCTCTTAAATTTACCCCAAACTCCTCCCTCCCTTTCTTCTACATCCCTTTTTTTTTTTTTTTTTGGGGACAGAGTCTTCTGTCACCCTGGCTACAGTGCTAGAGTGCGGTGGCAGGATCTCGGCTCACTGCAACCTCCATCTCACACCTCACAGGTTCAACCGATCCTCCTGCCCCGGCCTCCCGAATAGCTGGGATTATAGGCGTGTGGCATCATGCCCAGATAATTTTTGTATAGAGTTTCGCCCTGTTAGCCAGGCTGGTCTCGAACTCCTGACCTCAAGTGATCCACTAGCCTCGGCTTCCCAAATTGCTGGGATTACAGGTATGAGCCACCACACCCAACCATTCTACATCCTTATAAGTGGTGAAATCTTACAGAGGTTAAACATGCAAAGTTTTGGGAGTTGTGAGGGGCAGCATATAAGAATCTATAGTTCCTGGACCAACACACATCATTAGAATAGCTAAATACACATTCCAAATGAATTTGAATTAAATACACACTGAAACTGAATTCTGGCTGGGAGAGTCCCACCAAGAGAGGGCATGGAAACTCTATATGCCCCACCTACACCCACCCTATCCATCTCTTCTACGTAGCTCTTCCTGAGTTATATCCTTTATAATAAACTAGTACTGGCCAAGCATGGTGGCCCACACCTGTAGTCCCAGCACTTTGGGAGGCCGAGGATGGTGAATCACTGGAAGACAGGAGTTTAAGACCAGCCTGGCCAAGATATGAAAACCCTGTCTCTACCAAAAATACACAAATTAGCCGGGCGTGGTGGTAACACACCTATAATCCCAACTACTCAGTAGGCTGAGGCACAAGAATCACTTGAACCCAGGAGGTGGAGGTTGCAGTGAGCTGAGATCACATCAGTGCACTCCAGCCTGGGTGAGAGAGTGAGACTCCGTCTCTAAATAAATTAATTAAACTAGTGCTAGTAAATACAGCACTTTACTAGCTTTGTGTGCGTTCTAGCAAATAAACCTGAGGGGTGGTCATGGGAACTCCTGAATTTGTACTTGGCTGGGTAGAAATGTGGGTAGCCTATGCACTCCATTTGTGGCTGGCATCTGAAATGGGCATAGTCATATGGGTCCAGTGGGGTCTGCACTAACTGCAGATAGTTGTCAGAATGGAATTGTGGGACACTCAGTTTGTTTTGGAGAATCATTGTGGGAAATCCCACACATACTTGGTGTCAGAAGTGTTGTCAGAAGAAAAACTCTCTCAGCCTTCAAATAGAGAATACTATCTCTTTAAAATTTGTTTTGTTTTGTTTTGTTTTTTGAGATGGAGTCTCACTCTGTTACCAGGCTGGAGTGCAGTGGCACGATTTCAGCTCACTACAACCTCCACCTCCCGAGTTCAAGCAATTCTTGTGCCTCAGCCTCCCAAGTAGCCAGTATTACAGGCACATGCCACCAAACCCAGCTAATTTTGTATTTTTAGTAGAGATGGAATTTCACTATGTTGGCCAGGACAGTCTAAATCTCCTGACCTCATGATCTGCTTGCCTCAGCCTCCCAAAGTGCTGGAATTAACAGGCATAAGCCACCACGCCCAGGCTCCAGCACTTTCTTTTGAAGGCTGATATGGGCAGATCACTTGAGGTCAGGAGTTCGAGACCAGCCTGGCCAACATGGCGAAACCCCATCTCTACTAGAAATACAAAAATTAGCCGGGTGAGGTGGTGGGCACCTGTAGTCCCAGCTGTTCAGGAGACTGAGGCAGGAGAATTGCTTGAGCCCAGGAGGTGTAAGATGCAGTAACCCAGGAGGTGAGGTTGCAGCGAGCCAAGATAACACCACTGCACTCCAGCCTGGGTGATGGAGTGAGACTCTGTCTCAAAAATATAAAGTAGTTGGAGAATCAGCATTAAAACTTAGTTTAAAAATTTTTACTTGATCTTTCTATTTTTCCAGAGAGTTTATCTGGCCTCTTTTCTTTGACTTGCAGGTACTGAGCAGTGTATTATTATAGCCATTCAAAATGGAAACCACACTGAATTTTGGAGACTTTACAGCCAACTCATAATTACAAATTCCCTCCAGTAACCAAGCTATCTAAAGTTACCTTCCAAAGAAGTCCTTTCTTGAGTCTTCTTCATAATAGCTCATATGTGCCTTTTGAAGCATATATGTCACATGTGGGAGAACTCACTCCATCTCTCCAAGAGAATTGTAGAAACAAAGCAAGGTGCACGTGAGTCAGAATGATTTCCAACCCAATCAGCTTCCAGACATGACCTGTGATAGGTAAGAATTTTTAGATGGATTCTCATGAAGTTTAATTGCCAGCAACTCTCATATTTGGATTCCAGTTAAATTCCAAGGATTTTTTTTTTAAGACAGGATTTCACTCTGTCATACAGGGCTGGAGTGCAGTGGTGCAATCATAGCTCACTGTACAGTTGACCTCCCAACCTCAAGTCATTCTTCCACCTCAGCCCCCTGAAGAGCTGTGACTACAGGTGCACATGCCACCATGCCTACCTAATTTTTTTGGTAGGGACAGGGGTCTCACTATGTTGCCCAGGCTGGTCTTGAACTCATGGGCTCAAGCAGTCCTCCTGCCTTTGCTTCCCAGAGTGCTGGGATTACAGGCATGAGCCACTACAGCCAGCCAGAGCTGACTGGTTTTAAATGGAACATAAACTTTCACATTTTGGTTATCAGGATCAGAGCTAGCCACACAAGAAAGACTAGCTGTATCATTAGAGAGTTGGGGCTTGGAGCCATGTGATATCAGGTAGGAGGCTGGAGATTGACTTCAACAAAATAGGCAATGGTTTAATCAAGCATGCCTATGTAGTGAAACCCCAATAAAAACTCTGGACATCAAAGCCTGGGTAAGAGTCCTACGTTGGCACTACCCCTGCACTTACTGCCGAACATGGACGGCAAAGGGGAACAGGTCCCTAGGGACACAGGAACTTCATATTTGGAGCCCTCCCCATCCCAGACTGTACCTTATACAGCTCTTCTAATCTGTGTCCTTTGTAATAAGCATGACTTTGAGTATAACAGATTTCAGTGAGCTCTGGGAAGTATCAAAACTAAAGGTGGTTTTGGGAAACCCCAAACTTGCAGTGTCAAAATACTACTTATAGGCCAGGCCGAGTGGCTCTGGAAGGCCAAGGCAGTACTTTGGAAGGCCAAGGCAGGATGATCACTTGAAGCCAGGAGTTCGAGACCAGCCTGGGAAACACAGTGAGACCCAATCTCTACAAAAAATAAAAAATTAGCTGGGTGTGGTGGTGCGCACCTGCAGTCCCAGCTACTCTGGAGGCTGAGGCAGGAGGATGGCTTAAGGCCAGGAGGTCAAGGCAGCAGTAACCGAGATTGCACCACTGCACTCCCGCCTGTGCGACAGGGTGAGACCCGTTCTCAAAAAAAAAAAAAAAAGCTGGAAAATGACCTTATAAGAAAGTTTACATTAATATTGAAGTGGTTGTAATTTAAAATATCACATGGTCCTCAGGCGCTCAGAGGACAGGCGGCTACAGACGTAATGGCACTCAGGACCGCTAGGGGACGGTCGAGGAGTGCGCACCGTGCTTACGCATGCGCACACACGCAGCGGTTACGCGCACACCGAGATTCGCGCATGCGCACGTTCCGCGTACCGCAGTAAAGTGCAGTGACTCTCATCTCCGTAGAAACGCTCAGACTATGGCGGAGCCGACTGGGCTGTCGGAGATGTCCGAGCTCCCCGGAGACAGCAGCGTCCCACAGGTGGGCACAGCGAGTGGCGTCAGCGACGTACTGCAGGGGGCAGTCGGCGGCGGGGGGCGGGCGCAGGAGGCCGGGGAAGGCCCAGTGGCCGAAGCTGCGCGGTCCATGGCACGGGTGCCGGGCCCCGTGCCCGGGCCCATCCCCAGCGGCGTTCCGGGTCTGGCGTCCGCGCCAGACCCCAATCAGCAGCTCGGTTTCCTAGGAATTAACCAGCACCTGTTGTTCCGCGAGTATCTGGATAGTAGCTCCATGATCCCGGTCAGATTACTACGGGATTTCGAGGAACGCCGCAGGCTGTTCGTGGAAGGCTGCAAGGCGAGGGAAGCAGCCTTTGACGCGGATCCCCCGCAGATGGACTTCGCGGCTGTCGCCTTTGCAGTAGCGCTGACTGCCTCCGAGACGCTCAGTCCTCTGGCCGACTGAGTCGGCTGTGATGACGAGATTGGTGGCAAGGAATAGCTAAGTGACTGTTTTCGGATCAAAAGAACAGGCTGTGACAGTTTAAACTGAGTCAGTTAAACTCAGTTTAATGACTGAGTTAGGGGGAATGCAAACTGGAAGGGAATACGGCAATGTGCAATTGAAGGAGGAAGCACACTTCGAAATGAAAACAGATAAGACTGTTGAATATTGTTTTCCTTCTTCTTTTTTAATATTATTTAAATAGAGATGGGAGTCTCGTGATGTTCCCTAGTCTAGTCCCGAACTCTTGGACCCAAGCGATCCTCCCGCTTTGGCCTCCCAAAGTGTTGGGATTATTTTACAGGCGTGAGCCACCGCGCCTGGCCGAATCTTGTTTTCAAAGAGGTCCCAAGACACTTCTGACTTTGCACTTTGTTAGCAATGCTTTTTCCTGCATTTGTGGAGAATCCTTCAAGATTGTTTCACCATAAAGGATGGTTTTGCAAAGATCTGAGAAAAAAATGCTAATAATAGAATTCATAAAAGTGAGATAAAGTAATGAAAGAAAACAAATAACAGTTGTCAGGAATCCAGGTGTATCTGAGTTACTAGGATTGGAAGGCTATTGAGAGGACTTTGAAATTTCACAATTTGTGGTGATGTCATGTCAACAAATCCTAGTGTAAGATTCTCATTTGTATTTTCTGAGATACTTTAGATGAATAGCAAATATTCAGTAGGAAAAGCCACGTATTTATTATATGATCATTGTTTTCAAGTCTATGTGAAATTTAATGGCTGTGGAAATAAACTTGTTTTTTGTTAATTTTAAGCTTATTTTATTCTAGAATATGTATTCTATTCACAAGACTCAACCAAAAAAAAGTATCAAAAGATGCTGTGAAGAATCTCTTATTGCTGTCCTCTGCCAAACTCAAAACTATTCCATACAGGTGTCATTGCTTGTGGTTTGGGATTTTGTTGTTTTCTTGGTTTTGCTTTTTTGCTGTATGTCTTTTGACAGTTTTCTAATGCATATGCAAATAAACATCAATCTAAATATTGTGCATTCTCCCTTTTAAAATCAAAGTAGTTAACTTGCATCACAAGGTATAAATTTTAAAAAATATAAAATCAAAGTAGCATATACCTCTATCAGCATCTTGAGTTTTTTCAGTTATATATGGAGAGATAGATTTATGTATAAGGGGTATTTTTCTTCTTCTTTTTTTTTTTTTCTTTTGAGACAGAGTCCCCCTCTGTTGCCCAGGTTGGAATGCAGTGGTGAGATCTCAGCTCACTGCAGCCTCCACCTCCCAGGGTCAAGTGATTCTCCTGACTCAAACCTCCCAAGTAGCTGGGATTACAGATGTGCACCATCACACCCGGCTAATTTTTTTTATTTTTAATAGAGATGGGGCTCTACGGGCCAGGCTGGTCTCAAACTCCTGACCTCAGGTAATCCGCCCGCCTCAACCTCCCACAGTACTGGGATTACAGGCATGAGCCACCGTGCCCAGCCTACTGGGGTTGTATTATGCAGGTGTGATTGACTGGATCATTGGTCATGGAACTGAACTCAATCTCCACCTTCCTTCCCATCCCAGACTGTCAAGTTGATACCACAGCTCAAAGTCCAGTTTTCCCATAATCTCAGAGTGGCACGGACAGCCATCAGTCTGACTCATTACCATAAACGAGAAGTGCACCGATAGTCACCTTTTGAGTCTAAATTATCAAGTATGGCCCAAGGGGCCCACCATGTTAACAGTGACACCCCTATCACTTGGGAAATGCCAAGGATTTAAAGAGTCCCTCCCAGCAACTGGGCACAAAGCCCAACCAAATTCTCTACTATCAGACAATATCTAATACTGTTTTTTACCTTAATGACTTTGATGTTAACAATATTTTTTCTTTCTTTGAAACAAGATCTCAGTCTGTCTCCCAGGCTGGAGTGGAGTGGCACAACCACGGCTCACTGCAGCCTCGACCTCCTGGGCTCAAGCAATCCTCCAGCCTCAGTTTTCTGAGTAGCTGGGACTGCAGGCGCATGCCACCACACGGGGCTAATTTTTGTATTGTAGAGACAGGGTCTCCCTATGTTGCCCAGGCCAGTCTTGACCTGCAGGCCTCAAGCCATCCTCCCACCTCCACCTCCCTAAGTGCTGGGATTACAGGTGTGAGCCACCATGCCCAGCTCCTTTTAATAGCTAATTCATGTTGCTCAGAACTTTATCTTTGGGAACTACTTGAGAATTGGTTCAGCAGCATCTCAGCTGACTTCTGTTTAATCTTGCCATGTACTTGGGAACATTCCTAACCAGACATTAGATGAAATTTCAGACTTGTCAGATGGCAGGAATTTAGGTCCCACATTTGTGCGAGTGCAGCCTTATTAACAGAAGGCTTTCTTTCAATCATTTGCTCACTAACAAGGTGGAGACTAATTACCCCCACCACCTACCTCTGTGGGAGGGGCATTTTTTTCCCAACCTACCCACTGGAGGGTTCTGACTCCTGAGGTTCCGGCAGCCACGTGGTCTCCACTCTGGCATCTTATCCTGCTTGGGTTTGGGTTCTGTCTTTTCCCTTCACATTTTGAGTCACGCAGGTTCTCACCATCAAAATTAGCAGATTTCCTCACAAGCACAATCTCCAACACTGGCCACCTCTGGATTTATATTTCCATAAGATTTCTGGACTCTAGGAGTTCCCTTACCTTCCCACCACCTCAATTTTGCATTAAAAATATTGTTTGTTATTCCACCTGATTCTGATAAGCTACTGGAAAAAAAAAGAAAAAAAAATAGAAAAA